CTACTGCTACTCCTACGACTACGACTACGACGACGACGACGACGACTACTACTCCTACTCCTTAAACCCTAAACCCTCCTCGGGCCACCGCCTCTTTCGATCCAAGCTGCCTTTTCAAGCCCAAAACCGAGTCGCCGTAACTTTCCACAAGGGCCTTGAAAAGGGCTTCTTAAAGATTAGGGTTTACGGGTTTAAGGGTTTAGGTTTTTTTGGTTTAGGGTTGTTTGGTCTATGGTTTTGGGACGCAAGAACTTTCCACCAGGGCCTTACCAGGAAGTATGAGCTTTGAGCAATCCGATGTTTAGGGTTTAGGGTGTATCGGAAAAAGCGTCCGCATGTTCGGATGTGTTGGGATGTGCCCGATGACGGAAGTCTGCCAACACTCAACCTCTCGAGAAAAACATCGACTCTACGCACGGATGCTTTGGCAAAATGTACGATCCTGCCTTCGACAATGGAATCATCCATCCGACGTAGGCTGTTGCTTTCTCCGGGTTTTCTAAGCTGCCTGTAGCTAGTAGATAGCTGAACCAAGAAGCAACAGATGACTATACATCTCAGAAGAGGCCCGTACACCCTAAATCCTTGGAGTCTTTACTTTAAGCAGGTGAGTAATTCAGAGGCCTTAATCTTTAAATCGGGTCACTGGTTCCTGTCGTTGTAGGGAACCCCAAGTAGCAGTATCACGATTAATCATGGTTACTGCTGCTGTTATCAGGGTTTAGGGTTTAGGGCTTTGAATTTGTTCGTGTTTTTACAGATTCCGACCCGTATAACAACTGCTTGGACCAAGCTTCAGCTAACTCCGCTGCATCCAGGCTGGCCACCTGCGAAAAGCACAATCGCTGTGACAAAAGCCGCCACAAGTTGCGGCTTTAGGGTTTATAGGTTGTGTAGGTTGTACTATCGGGTTGAAATGGTTGATAATGGGTTCTACAGTATATAGGGTTTAACATTGATGGAGCTCAATATTTAATCAGGCTTTGCGCAGAGTTTTTCATCAGCAGCCAAGCAGCTAGAAGCACAGATTCCATATTCGATGTTGCTGATCAGCACAGCATATTCGGGCTTACACCTCCTAAACACAAGACCTCATTAAGCCCTAAACCCGAAACCCAAAGCGCACACGGTAGAATGCCGAAGGTTTGGGAAAGTGCCGACTGAGCAGGCGCTTAAAGCTCGTAACCCGGAAAGCAGGCCCACATCCCAACACCCGGCTTAGGGTTTAGGGTTCCGGGTGTAAGGCTTTGGGGTTGATGGGGCCCAGAGTTTAGGGGTGTAGTGTTTAGGGATGTAGGGTGCAGGTTTAAGAATGACTGCTTGGGGTTAAAGGCTTTTCGGCAAAAAAACAAGGGTCACGTGGCCTGCCAAAACTCGCATCATTCAATTGGCGCTTCTTTCGCGGGGGGTGCAGGTTTAAGGGCTGTGGTTGTGATGGGCTTGGATCGGAAGTAAAACCAGAACCCAAAACCCCAAAACCTCCTGAGTTTCGCAGCCGCCGAGATACAACTCCAATACTCAGACGCTTGCGCGCCAGTGCTCGCATTTCAGGCCAAAGCCTATGGAATACAGGGGCCTGAATAATTAGAAAAGGGTTTCGGGCTCCTTCAAAAGTATGACTATAACAAGGAAACCTTAACGAATACGATTGGTAACCATTTAGGCTTCCAAATTGGACCCTTAGCTATCCCTGCTGGTTGACCTGATATATGAGTTGTCATGTCAAAAACCTTTCAACACATGTCATGATATGGTACGACATGCTACGATATGTTATGATATGATATGAAATTAAAATGTGTTGGCACGGTAATATATGGTATGTAAAGTATGCGATGGTATGCTATGACACGAATCAGCATGATATGATATAGTTTGATATGATAAGGTATGATACGACTTGATATGCTAAGGCAGGGCAGCATAGCAGCATACATGTGATACAGGTATATGGCAGATATATCTGTATATACATCTGCATATATGTAAGACCAGCATAGCAAAGTGCGATGCTTCATTCTTAGGTTGAACCCATGGGCCCCTAACATGGGCCCTTAGGGGATTCCAGGGTCCCTTAAGGGTATATATCAGGTACATAGTAGGTATATTAGGGTCCCAGGGTTAAGGGCCCATACTAGGGGCCCATGGGTTCTACCTTAGATTCATGAGACAAGCCTCTTCGCCCGACATCTTCCGCACAGACATGGCCATGGGTGCGGCTTCATTGGCCAGCATTGCACTTCCCAAAGGGTCCCAGGCGCTCTGATGGGCCAAATCAGAATATTATTCCTAACATAAAGCCCTACATTCTAAGATGTCGATACTTTGGACCCTTTGGGGATTTTGGGCCAACATACTTTGCAAATGCTGAAGCCGAGACAGAACCATATGCGAATCTGCTCATCTGCTGGGGCTCAAGGAGTGGAGCAACAGCAGACATTCACAGGCAGATACTGCTGAACTACACAATCTAGGCCCCATGAATGATTTTCTAGTTGAGGCTCGTGTTGTGAAAGGCATGTATTCTGGCACTTGTAGTGCACGGCTCAACAAACAGAACTAACACATCAGGATCCCGAATACGTGGCAGTAGGAGTTAAGTACAGCTATATACACCTATATATAGATGTAAGTATATGTATGTTCTTTGCATATCTATCTATCCATCTATCTATCTATCTATCTATCCATCTACCTATCCTTACATCGCTCCTTATTCATTTATTTCTTTATTTGTTTCTTTGTCTATCTGTCTGTCTCTCTATCTATCTATCTATCTGTCTATCTATCTATCTATCCATCTACCTATCTATCTATCTATCTATCTTTCTATCTATCTGTTTTCCTATCTATCTATGTGTCTACCTATCTACCTATCTACCTACTTACCTACCTACATACCTAGCCAGCTATCTATCTATCTATCTATCTATCTATCTATCTGTCTATACATGTGTGTGTTTGAAAGTATGTACCAGCAAACAAATCCATAGATCGATGCGTAAATGCATATGTGAATACATAAGTAAATAAATAAATACATATACATACACACGCACACGCATGTCTCAATCAGGTTCGAAGCCTGATGCCCCAAACCAGGCTCGACTTTTTGGCGGCCGGAGGCGGCGGCGGTGGTTTCTGTTTCGCGCTGCAAGATGCGCCGGGTGCAGCATCTACAGCAGTTCTGAGTCTTTCCCGAAAGGATCCTAAGCACCTCGTAGGAAATACTGATAGAAGCCACTAGAGGAATTCCTTTGATTATTTGGTGCTGCTGTGCATCAGGTTAGTACCATCTGGGATCGCGCTGTCGGTATGTCCGTGGCCGGAACCGCGACTGCACGGAATCGACCGCAAGACATCAACATGGTTAGGCATGTGTGTCCGTGCACATGATGCCCAACAAAATCTTCAAGCCTCCCTAAACCCTAAATGCCTAAAGCCTAAACTCTAAAACCCTGAAGCCGAAGCCTTTTAAAAGGCATCACTGCCTGGATGCCCAGGAACTCTGAAGCCATGAAAAAGCCCAAACCCGGCCGGCTCTCTAAGGGACACCGTCGAAAGTTTAGGGTTTAGGGTTTTAGGGTTTAGGGTTTTAGGGTTTTAGGGTTTAGGGGATTTAGGGTTTAGGGGTTTAGGAGTTTAGGGTTTACTTGGAGGATCATGGAACTTAGNNAGTAAGTAAGGTTATAAGTACCTGAACTGGAGATTTAACTAGTTATAACTATAGTTCCCGGATTTACAACACCATAACCCCAATTACTCAGTCGCATGATCCTTGAAGTAGAGGTGCCTTCACATAAGTCGAAGAGGCTTCTGGACCATGTAATTCAGTAGTGATTCATATAACAGGAGGCTTTATTGGTAGTTCTTCAATCTTCCATTTCACTCCCGCAAATCTCTCTTGGCTGCTGAGGCCGACTTCAGAACTCGAGCTTGCATCTTTTTGTTGGGGGTGGGCTGGGTGGATGGGTTTGCAGGCGGGCGGGCGGGCGGGCGGGCCGGTAGCATCGGGACGGATACATTCAGAATCGGGTTTTGTGTACAACATAGCACAGTATAGTATAGTAATAGCGCTGTAGCAAAGTACAGTCATCATGGTGAGCTATGATCTGATCGTCTGTTGTTGTTTGAAGCTTCCACACACATACCTTGCGGGGCTCCTGTGGCCGTCACTGCCGAGACATCTCTGTTCCACATGGGCGATGCGTGTGAGAGCATTGGGAGGCCTCGATGCCGCGCAGCCCTGAAACGGGTTAGGGTTTAGGGT